GCCCGGCACTTGCCACGGAGCTGACGGCGCTGGCTGCTGCTCAGCAGGAGAAAGCAGCCGGGGGCTTCACGTGAAAATGTGCAAGAAGATCGCCCAGCTCACCAAGGTGGGGCCCGGGGCGAGGCCACCTGGCCGCGGGTGGCGGGGGCTTGTCCCAAACTTCCTTTTTGGGTGATGCTTGCCTGAGAGGAGGGAAGGGAAACCTGGGCTGTCTTGTAAGGCGGTTCCTGGAAATACCGGTGCGCGCAAACTTCCTTCCAAGCAGGTGGCCCGTGGGTGCTGCCCTCGCCCTTGCAGCTGACGAGCCACGGCTCGCAATTAGCGGCCCGAATGAGTGCGCTACAAGAGCGAAAAGAGCTCAAGGTCTGCAAAGACAGGGCGTTTAAAATGTTTGTGTGTCTATCTGCTGCTTGGAAGAGTTGACCCTTTCTAGCTTTTATCCTAAATCGCAGAGCTCAGAATTCATTTGCCTTTTGCTGGTTTTCAGGTAATATTGTTGCAATGCTACAACTAAATTATGCTACTAGAGTGTAATATTGCTCGTTGCCTTATACTTGCTTGTTACTGATGGGCATAAGTTGAACTATATTAAGTTACCTCAGTAAAAGACAGGAGCTGGAGAAGAGGCAGGGCTAAATTGTATAGAATATTATACTAAAACTTTTTAGTCAGTCCTGAGCAATACTAATAAATATTTTGAGCATCTTCTACGCCATGTTAAGAAGCAAGAGAAAATCTATAGCAGGTGGCAGGTATCTTCTGTGCTATTTTTATGCTGCACCTTTGTCAGTGGGGGGAAAAAAAGCTATTTCCTACCCTGCTACTCCTGTCAAATAGCAGCTTTTACATGTTCTGTAAGCTTCCCCACAACTGATAAAGACATTTAATTTGTTTCGTAACCTCTCTTCTCTTCATTAGAAATGAAAAAGCACTGCCTATAAATACAGGATAAAGATAAAACAGTAGGAAATCATTAAAATATTGAAGATAGCGTGGCTTCCTGGTTGCAACTGCCATTATTCTTATCTAATGATGACTGCATCTGATAATGTATATCACGTGTAGGAATACTTATGCAAGGATTACATATACATACATATGCAGGGGTTTCGATTGTATTTTTTAATAATAATACTTGTACACAATCTAATACTTATTTTTTGCCCAGGGATGTACATACTGCATTTTAATGTACATTTTGATTCTGTAATAATTGTAAACTAACTGTCTAAATACATACCACATTTTTATTATTTCAAATTTTTTATTATTTCAAATACAATTATATTTTTAGCAATGAGCTCTATAAAAGTTCTTAGAGAGACACACTGTTTATTTATTAATACCATTCGTGGTTCCTCAGCCACCATGAAATATGTATGAAGGACAACAGCAAATTAGGTTAAGATTTCCTGAGTTGTCCCCTTATTTTTTGTCTGCTCACTGTCTTTGATCATCTTGACCCTCTGAGTCATTTACACCTGCTCAAATTATCTGTTTCATAGCATAGAAAATTTGATGAATTAATGTGGGTTCATCCATAAGTATCACTTCAAAAAATCCCTTTTTATTACAAAAGCACTAGCCAGGCACCTATTTTTTGATAGTTGATTGTACTTCACAGTAACGGGAGCTGGAGAATCACCAGCTCCTTCTTTGTGATGGCTGACCCATTTCTCAACAGCAGCCTTAGAGCATACTGATGGGATCTGTGCAAAGAAGCTTGTGTTCAACTTCTCAAGTCTCAAGCTCGCCTCACTGAACTCACTCTGTAGAGATTTCAGTGCCTTCCTTTCTATATAAAATGAAGATTATTTTTAAAGACTCTGTATATAATTGAATTTTGAGGGAAAAATACCTTTCATTCTTTTCTAAAAACATTCTATTTCTTTATAAAGCTCCTCTTTGGGTTGGGGGAAAATATTCTGAGAGCTGTTTTATCAACAAAAAGGGGGAAAAATTTCACCCCAGTGCAAAATATCCTGGCAAAAATTGATTAAGGCCTTCATCAAATTGTATGCAATTTTTTTTTCAGAATCTCTTGCTAAATTTCGACTGTTAAAAAGTTGGAGGGGTAATTTCTTTACTTTTAATAGAAATCATCCTCTGGATACTTTTAAGTCATCTAAAATAAAGAAAATTTATACCTGAGGCTCAAAAAAGTACTTCTGAAAAAAAAATCATCCTGTTATGGGAAGTGATATATAAGAATCAGTTTTCTTTACAATAAAACCATGCTTATCGAGAACTCGGGGCAGGACTGGAATTTTAATCTTATGCTTTCTCTTCTAAATTCTGGTTAGAGTATTGCTATACCAATAGCAAACATCCATACCAAAAGTGAAACAGCAAAATCTGAGACCAGGTTAGCTGGGAGGGAAAAAAAAAAAAAGGCTGAATGGAGAATTTGTTATAATAGATCATTTCTTGGCCTAGGAACTTTGAGGACTCCTTTTTGAATCGCTCTCTTTTCTTGGCTATATTGCAGTTGGAATAATTATAATAAATTTCCCCTTAACTTTAAGTTGCCAGTAGCGCTAACCTCTGCTGACTAGTGTGTAATGCTGCTCTCGGTTCTGTAGCTCTAGTGATGTCAGTTTTTCGGTGATGGGGAAATAATATTTTGTGAACGATCTAATTACTCATCAACTCTGTATTGTGCCAGAAGGAGAAATGAATACAAAATATTTAAATTAGGCATAGGATACAGAGACTGCTTTGCATCCTGTTTCTCTGCGGTATGGTCAGTAGTGGCCTCCGTCTCCTGCTATCAAAGACAAAGGAGCAGTTTGCAAAGGCATCAACAGCAGAACTGAACTGATAAAGCAGTAGCATCATGGCATGAAGTGCTGATTACATGGTAAGGCATGGATTGGGATTCTCCATACGTAATCAAGACACTGAGATCTTGCAAGTTATGCCAGTTCTACTGCCTTGCTATTTCTGTTTTTGAGGAGGTAGCTTATAGTAAAGTTTTCATCCCTTTAGTCATGTGCAGGTTTTTTTCTGTTCTGCACCTTTTTGGCTGTAGTTGCAAAAATACCAAACTGTAGCATTTCTGTTTTGGGCAGCAAACTACTGCTTTTTATAGCCTGTGTAGAGGCCACTTATTGGTGACTTTAAATGCCTGGCCCTTGTACTCTCAAAGATTTTTTTTTTTTTTTTTTTTACTGTTAACAGCTCACTGAGCACATTCAGTCGGTGCATGTTCAGTGGGTCCAACATAGACTAAAAGCATCAAACCTACTCTGTCCAGACCTGCTAGTGTTGATCTATCCTTGTGTTTATGTGTTTGGGAGTCTTTGGGATGAAAAGTAGTACTAGTTATCCAGTAAATTGGAAGTGATGTAAAAGTACATCAGTTTGAAGATGTGAAAATGAATAATTTTAATTACTGTATAGTGAATGTATAAGTACGTGACATACCAGAATTTTTCATGAGCAGAGCTGATTTGAGGAGGGATTTAGAGTTAATGGATCCACAGAACTTCAGTCTGGAAAAATAATGTGTGCACTGAGCATATATGTAGGTTTATTGTCCTGCCTTTGCCTCACCCCCCAAAAAAGTAAGGTGGCCTTTACATTTCAAGACATAAGTGAGCACAGGCCCAATTTTACCCCTGGAGATCCAGCTTCCTACATTTGAAATACACAAATGAAATAATGGCAGGGTTTGATTGTTCATTGTTTTTTTTTTTTTCCATTAAAGCCTCAGCTCACAGTGCTAAATGAATGTGTGAGACAAACAAACAGTTTTTGTTTGAAACGTGTAAAAACAAAAATAAAAAAGGGTTTTTTTCCCACCTGGATGCAAAGAGAAGATTGAAAACAGGAATTCTAGAGGCTGAAAAGGAGATTAAAATAATAAATAGTTATATTTTTTAGTGCCTAAAGTTGGCAATATTGTGCATGTGATAATTTTGTTCTGTGGATGTTTGGATACCTGGTCTCTTAAGAGACAGAATTGTGCAGATTCCAGGAGCTTCCAGATCATGGCTTTGGTTAGGATCCTACTGTTGTCTCTTAGCAGCATGCAAGAGAATGGAGTCTAAAGCTGATTTCTAGTTTCTGTAAATACATATAAACAGGCAGAGGTGGCATGTTGACTTTAAGCTGCCTTGATTTAGTTGGATTGTCACCTTAAAATGGCTTAGCCTATGAACGTGAGGACCTGAGGTAAGACGACTGTATTGTTCAATCTTGGAAATGAGAGCAGGATTCAAGGTAAAAGGACCTCAGGGTGAGACATAGCTAGAGAATCAAGTACAAACTAGAAGGTATCAAGATGTATCGCAGGTTATAATAGAATAAGTCTGGAATATTCACCTGATACTGACTTCCTGAAGCAGTCTTCCTTGACCTATTGCTTGACTCCAGAGACTCTAGCTTTGCAAGGGCTGACCAGTATGAAGAAGTCCTAGTAGCCAGCATACTAAAAGAAGACTGGACCTAAGTGTGGAACTTATCTAATGAGAATCGTCTTCACTGCAAACCTGAAGTTTTAGCAAACTTTGTCAGTCACAAGCTACGTAAAAAGTTTTAAAGACCTAGTAAGATTAGTGCGTTTGGGTGAGACCTGTCTAGGCCTTCAGAATTTTGACCTTAAAATCAAATAACACTGCAGCTCTTTCCAGCTGAACTATGCTTTGAGCTTTCACCAGAAAACTTGCAAGATTTATGAACTTACAGAAATTGAATCACAAAAGTTCAACTTGCAAATGGAAAAGTCCATCTGTAGCTGTGACTCACAGATAAAAACAATACAGCTCAGATATTTTTTCTGCAACATGAGCGCGTTCAGATCAATAAAGAGTTGAAGTTAGTGCGTTTTCCTGGTTGTAGCAGAATGCGTGACTTTGTACTTGTAATTAAGTTTAGTCTTCTCCATCAGAAATTGCAGCCTTGGCACACTAGGTTTCGTGCTTGCCAGTTTTTTTTTTTATTTCTGATCTGTTTAGCAATAATACAGAGTTTTAAATGCATGGCAATTTTTATTAGAAACTTTGGGCTCACTTGCTGCCTCATGCTATGCGTTTTTAACATCTACTGTGTAATATAGGGTTTTGATGTGCTTATTGATTCTCAGGACAGTCCTTTTCACTTGAG